ATATATTAGGGCACTGCATTTCTGCTTTACAGAAAAAACAGATGGAGGGAATTCCTTGAGGAAAACTGCAGCTCCTTTCTTCCTGTTTAGCAGTTTTGGCCAAAGAGGAAACCCCAACACATTGGCATAACGCTGTAGGATCAATTACAAATGACAGAAATCCACTGAGTGATATATTGTTAGAAAATACTGATAGAAATCATACGGTGGCAGCTGCCTCATAATTCTCTATATAGGATTAGCACTGTTTAAGGTTATTCACTGGATTTGCTTAAGATTTCAATAAAACTGGAAAAATGGGGGTGTTGTAAAACTTCTGTTCAGGGCTGTGTATGAAACCACTCAGAACTTCAACTTGGGAATTTTTTTTGAACATTTTAATGTCACTTCAAGTATGTACTTGAACGGTTAGGCTGACTGTGTCAGAAATATGCAAGACATTTATTAGCAGCTTACAAAAGGTAACTTATTGTTAGCTACAAGAGGGATCAATGATACATCCATGCTAGCAGCTCTGTGAAGCTGAAGTTAGACACAACGATGTGTTGAGCAAAATGCAAGCGTCTGCATGCTCTACTCCTTCTAATAATCAATGGAGAATTCCAATTTTATCCTGAGGATGGCATGAATATCTGTACCAGGTTTCACAGCCATCTGTCCAGTAACTGTTGGGCTGTTGCACTCAAAACCATAAAGGGCAACCTAATGATGAAAAGTCAGGGAATCTCTAAAGTCATTAGGATTCATCAACTGGGAATCATGAATATCTGTACCAGACTCAACAGTAATCCATTAATACTTAAGACATTTCACTAAAAACCAAAACTGTCAACCTTTCAAATTTCATGGCAATTTATCTTAGTCTAGACCATCCAAGCAACCAACCATGCCATTCGTTGAGCAATGCTGCTAATTAAAAAAAAAAAATTATTTAAATGCGTCCTTTTGTTTTGTTCGCCTCGCATAGATTACATTACGTATAGTTTTGAATGTTGTTGTTCATTGCTCATATACTTACACATAAAATGAGTTCAGAAGCCCTTAAATACAAGAGGTGTATTTTAACAAACTGACTGTCAACTGGACAACTGTATGTACAACACATGTGCAGGACTATCGCTATAGTTTCTCAGACCATTTTAACTAAGAAACGACCTTTTGTGACGATCAACTTCATATATGCCTTTTTATTCTCCTTGCTGCATACATAACATACATAATGGTTATTCAGATTTGGACTTGAATACACTGAGGAAAAGTGTCCATTGTATCATTTCTGTGTTCACTTGAGCTTTGTGCATGTGTGTGTTTGTGTTTCTACTTTAAACAGATTATACAGGAAAGAACGTTGCTTGCTTCAGGCTGAAATGCATCCTCTGGACGTGAGCCATTAAAATATTCAAAGAGTTTCTACCTAAGAGTGCAGGGTTTTTTTTTTTTTTCAATTTTATGTGCATCTCTTGCCAGTCTTTTCTGACTCATACAGAGTCTCCCATTCAGCCCTACTGATTTTATAACAAACCCTAACTCCACTCTTGTTGGCACAGAGCATCTCTCTCCGTCTCCGCCTAACGATATGGGAATTAGAAATACAGACAAAGACTAAGAGACATAGTTAGGGTGATGAATTTGTTTCAAATAATAGTCTGACATTATTTGATATAGTGTGTCTGATGTAATCTAGCACCAACTGCATACAGCGATTCAATTATTGCTTATTACACCCATATGATAACGTTTTTACATAGTATTATATATTATTGTTCTATATATGGTTCAATACTCATCATGACAAATTATGTATCTTTTAAGCAGAGTGAATAGTGACTAGGAAGGCTATGATGAATGCTCAACATCCTAGAAGAAAAAGGGTCTAAAAAACAGCAAGCAACAATGTAATAAAATGTGAAGATCCAGTAACACCTAAAACTGTTCAGATGAAGAATCGAGGGAGGAGAATGAAAGCAAGCATAAAAAGCGAGTAAGCTGTAGATAGCAAATATACAATAGATCACGAGTAATAAAGATAGACAGCGACAGCTGAGGAGGGACCGAGCGAAGCAGACAAAATAGAACAAAAAAACATTACATCCGGCAAAGGCATCTCTCTGCCAGAATTTGGCAGATTATTAGAAGCATGACCCTCAAAGGCTTCAATCCCCAGCTAACGAGGGCAACGTCTTGAAATGACATTTCCGAGCCGAAGGAGGAAAGAAAAAAAAAAAAAGAGAGAGAAAAAGGATTAAAGAAATGAAAAAGTTTTTGTCGAGATAAGCTTGAGATTTAAACAAAAAAAGATCACCGCCCCCAGAGATGATAAATTAAATACATACACGTTCGCAAGCAAATTACATACACATACACACACACACACACACACACACACACGCTGTCACACAGATTCCCTCATGACACACACACAGCCACACACACACACCCACAGCATATAGGTCATTTCCCCTCTGGCTCATACATTATTGCCAATTTGGGAAGGGGAAGTTTGTTCACTAAATATTTGATGGACACCCCTAGCTGCAATGAGATTAACAGATTAATCTTGCCAATAAGGATGTGTTTATCAGTGCGAAGCTTGTGTGTGCCTGTGTGTGTGTGCTCATGTGCATGAGAGCCACACCAGACCAAAAGTTAATTAAAATGCATCCAACATTGCACATCTAAGGACAGCACATAGCTCAAACTGAGTGATAAGGGTCTTAATGTTATGAGAAAAAAAAAAAAAAAAAGAAAAGAGAAAAAGGCAAGAGTAGCAAACCAGAAAATGCTGTAAACTTGTTATGATATATGTGAATTTTCTGATTTCTTTTCTGAACTATTTATCTTGATCACGATGATAATTATACATACATTATTCACAATAATTTTCATACAAATGAATGTCAGTAGTTTTATATTGCTATTTCTGGTAGGAAGAATCCTATTCCAGTTCATACGAAGTGATGCTTTGTCCATCTGGGTTTGGTTGTTCAGAAGGAGGACACACTGCAGTCTTTCCCCTTGAGACATCAAGCAGTCCTGTGTTGCTTCTCTTGAATTACATTAAAATGTGCAGATTTTTCAACAACAACCTAACTTTCCTCTCTCAATGAGAAAGAATATGATATGATGTTGGGTGTATAAGTGATCTCTGAGAAGTGTCATGTAAAATCACCACAGACATTAGACAAAATGAACTACTAAACTAAAAATAAAAGTCTTGCAGATTAATAAGTTTATGTAACTTTGAAAATAAACACTAAAACAATCTTCCCTCTTACAAATGAAAAGTTGATTTTTTTAAGCAATAAAATGCCCCCTTGCTGAATTCAGTACACGTAGTCACATCAGCATCTAAAACTTTGAATTTTTATGGTCAAAAATTACTAATTTCAGTGGAATGGTAGGTCAGTAGGTTTGCTGGCAGAGGTGAAGTAAATCTGTCCAGATCCTTTGCACTGAAATTCAACTCTGATGAACTTTAACATGAGAACTCTCTCCTTTGACCGACTGCAAACAGTCTTGACAGCGTTTAACTTTAAGGGCAATATAAAGCTGGAGAGTCCAAGACATGAACATTGTAGCTTATTAGCTGTGCTGCACACGCCACTCTTATGTTAATCCTCCTCTGTCTGACTATAAACTGCTCCACAAAGAGACATGGATGGTTTGCAGGCAGTTATGAGACAAGAGTCAATGGTACAGATATATGTCTCTTGAGATAGGTTGCTAACTGAGAGCCGAGTTTTAGCAGTTAGCTCGTCAGTGACAGTCGTTTGTGTGTGACACGACACTTCTATAAGCACATATTGTGTGTGGATGAATTTGTGCCAATTTCTGGTGCGAATAGGCCTCAGGATCTGGTATCACCATTGCCTTATGCTGGTTACAGATGGATAAAGTTATCAAACTTAAATTTGGATATTGCTGTGCCAGTTCTGAAACATTACTGTGACATTACTGAGTCAATTTGCTGACTCCATGACTCCTCTCTACTTGTGCTACTGTCACACTATGTTTTAGCATGTCACAGCTTAACATTTCATTGAATTAAGTTTCAGAGTGACTAACTTTTAAAATGGAGGGGGCTCAGTACAGTCAATCTTCTTTTGGCACCTGACCAGCTACATTATAGCACCTGGAGGTACAGCACATTGTCCATCTTGAAAGCATAAGCTGAGAGAGAGAGGAATATAGCTCATCCAATTCTCTCTTTCAGCCTCTACTAAAGCCAGACTGTTGTATATCATCAGATTGTTTATCTCACTAGAATTTACCCTGAAAAACAAGCATAAGTAGCCACCACAACTTTCCCCGTCCCCTGGCTAAGGTGCTTGCTCTGACAAGAGCGACGAGGGGCCACTTTGTGGCGCACAGGCTGCAGCCTGGAGATTAGAGAGCCAGCAGAGATTTGCTGAGGATAAATGTAAAGCTGAGCTGAACAATGAATACCATGGGCCAAGATTGTTTAAGGGGATAAGATGTTCACAAAAATCTGGCTGCATGTGGGATTGAGTGTGTGTATCACAGTGTGTGTCTGCAACTGTGTGTTCATGAGTAAGATTAGACTGTCTGGTAAGGGGGTGAGCATGGCTGGTGTTTGTGTGCGGAAAGAAAGTTGTGATGAGAGGGCTATAGTGAAAAGTCTAAAGCCAAAAAGACCAGACAGTCGTATTTGGAAGCTTTTGAAGTTCCACAGCTTCAAATGCAGAGCGAGCTTAAAGGACAGGGATGAATCTGCCACACACATGCACACATACAGATATATGGGGCATAGCACTTTACAGTATAATCTGGCCCGGTACAACTCTGAGTATCTTGAGTGCACTTCAACACTGACTTGATGTGTTTTTGACTTTATGCATTCTGACTCTGATTACAAACCAAATCTCCAGCGTACATGCCAGTGCTATGTTTAACATGGATCTCTCTGTTAGTCTGTCACAACCACCCACAAGGACACTGGGAAAAAATGACAGCAAATAACAAATGTTTGTCATTCTCACCGAAATCGACAAAGGAGGACTGTCCAATGACGCTGGCTGGTGGCTTCGCTGGCATGACTTCAGCTTTGGTGAAGTTCCCATTCTGAGAGAGTAACCATTATGTAGACAAAGAGAGAGAGAAAAGAAGGGAGAGAGAGAGATTATGCAGTTTCATATATGCTCATACATATTATAACTACTGGAATGCTGTTTTCTTCAAGAGTCATGAATAAGTAAACTTCAATTCAGTAACTGTGGCGTATAATGTCACAGATCCAGTGGATCAAGTGTGAGGAAGACAGAGAACAGAGGTGTAAAAATTAACATTCTGGCTCTATGCTTTTACTCTATAGGATCAAGGATCATGGGGCCTCCGATGGACTATAGAAACTGAGTTACAAAGAATGGCTTTTGTGTGTCTGTGTGCAGTATATGCATGAGAAATGCATACATGTGCAGAAACTTCGCTGTCAGGAGCTGCATATATGCAGTGATTATATCAGATGCTGGACAACCACAGCTGCAAGGTTCTGAATAGTCTGAATATTCACAGCAGCGTCTGGACAATTACAAGTGATTTATACTAAATGATGTAGTGATTGTATAGTATCTTCAAATACTGTATATATATATATATATACTGTTGCCAAAAAGAGAAAGAATCATATTATCTGCTCAGATCAAATCTCAAAATGTGAAGATTAAAGGGATATGAATCTTTTATTTTTTTACTTTTTTTTCCCCCCACTTAGAGGGAGCATTTTATTCAGGCTACCCATTCAAAATTTAAAGTGTGTTCTTATTCTTTTACATGCAGCTAAACTCAGGTCATTGCAACATTTACTGAAGTTTTTAGTATATTGAAGTAAAATGTTAATGATGTTGTAGATTAATCTACAAATTACTTTTTCATTAAAAGTTAAAACTAAAAAATACCTTTTAACTTGCTCATGAGCGAATGTTGGGTTTATAACATCTACAAAATGCTCAAATGTACAACTGACATAAAAAGAAAAAAAATAAATTCTCAAAAGTGAGAAATTGGAACCAGCGATTGTTTTGCCCTTTGTTTAAACATTTACTCAGTCAGTTAAATGATTATTAAAATCACAGCTGATTACATTTCGCAATCAACTAATCACGTCAGCACTAACTGATCTTAGCGTTGCAACTGATGATTATTTTCTTCATTAAGAAATCAGTTAGTTTTTTTTTGGTCAATAAAACATCAGAAAAACAGTGAAAAGGGCCCACTTCAATTAACCAGATTCCAAGCACATGTTTTCAAATGTGTTTGTTTGCTTTGTTCAAACCTGAAGATTTTGATTTGATATACTGTCTGATGAAGAAAAGCAGCAAAAATACTCATTTTTTAACTCAAAAAATGGCTCAATGATGATTTCAAAATTGTTACAGATTTTCTGTTCCTTAAGTTTCTGTCGATCAACTAATTAATGAATTGATTCTTTTCAGCTATAGCTATATCTTTAGTTGTCTGTTGCCTTTAATGGTAACACAATGAGGCTGCATCACATACAGCTGTGTGGTTTGATGGTTGTAGCCACACACCACACATCTGCTGTACTGTATCCATGCATTTTCACTGCTTTTCCAGTGGGGAAAAAGTGCTGTGGCATATCTTGACATGGCGTGTCATCACAGGTTTATGTGCCTCTTGATGCTGCTGGTGTGTGGGCTTACATAGAAAACAATGGTTGTGAGTGTTTCAACAAACGTTGAATGCCAACGGTGTGGGGTGCCCTTTACAGAGGGGAAGGGATAAGGAGGAGGAGAAAAGAAGAGGAAATAAGATATTAGTGAGGGGGAGGGGGGTAGAGGGTGTGTGTGATATGTGTGTGTGTGTGTGTGTTCGTGTGTGCATGTGTATGTAGGAACAGATGTGAGTCTGCTGTGCAGCGGGAAACTGTTGCCTGCTGATGCCAACATTAGTGATTTATGAGAAGAAGAGAGACAGGGAGAGTTTGCAAAAAAAGCCCCTAAAGGACTCTCAGCCTGTGAGAAACAAGATTCTCTGATCTGATGAAACCAAGATTGAACTGTTTGGCCTCAATTCTAGCACATGTCTGGAGGAAACCAGGCACCACCCAGCACCTGCCCAATATCATGCCCACAGTGAAGCATGGTGGTGGCAGCATCATGCTGTAGGGGTGGTTTTCAGCTGGAGGGACAGGGTGACTGGTCAGTGATAAGGGGAAGTTGAATGAACAATAGTACAGAGATACCCTTACTGAAACTGGGACATCACATCCTGTATATTGGTAAATGTTCTTGTTACCTGGAGCAATGTGGGTATCCTGGGGGGAAAAAATATCTTTTGCAGGAAAAGTGTTTTACGTTTCTGGGATAAGCAAAGCACTTTAATAACTAGGAGATGAGTAGTAAGTGCAGTGATAAAGAAAATGTTGGCATACACTCTATCTAATACGTAGTCTTTAGAAGTGCAGAGCAAAAAACGCTTCAGTTTGGAAAGATCAATGTTTTTCAAAAGTTTTTGCACAGTTACAGAAAAACCATGCAATGAGCTGCATTTACAGATACTTTAAATGAATGAAGAAATTATTTCTGAATGTCATGAGGATTCATTTGTTTTGACTTCAGCCTCTGCTAATCACAGAAATCTAAAATATGCTGACTGTGGCTGAAACAATAAAAACCCAAATGCAGTTTCTGCAGTAATTATCTGCAGTAGATTGGTGGCAGAAAAATGATTAAGCACTAGATATGTGGACAAATCATACATAACATTTGATAGTATTAAATGTCCATTTATTGGTTTTGAAAAGTGCTGCCTCTGCAAAACCACAGTAAACCACTGGGCTTCACAGCCTTCAAACTGAAGACTTAGTCATATGATGTCTCCTGAAATGCTGCTGGTGAGTTGGTATTCTGTGTGCGACGTTTTGCAGATGCAGGCTAGTCAGTACATTTAGTCCAATATTACATTTTGTTTCAATTATTCAAAGCACACAAATCAAGTGCTTTCAGAGGTTAATTATTTGCAGCATGTTTGATACTTTGAATGCCAATGAAGCTCAAATTTAAAGGCAATGATTTTGGTGACTTACAAGAAATCCATCAGCCAAAGATTCAGGCTATCACTGGTAGTGGATACATTTGTTTAATTTGTAAAGAATTATTGGTTCTGTAACTGCTGTGTATTGAATGTGCAAACAAACCTTCCAGGGAATTAGTGTAACACACACACAGACACACACAAATACGTGCATGGTAGCCCAATGTGAACCCATGTTTTGAATCAAATATCATGATTTATTTATTTATTTTTATTATACTTTTGAGTGACCTCTCATAAAAACCTCAAATTTTGTATAATTAAGAAAAAATGTAAAGTTAATGAAATGTAGAGGGACATACTTATACTGTATGTAACCCCTTCCTGCTTTCTTTAATGTATGCGCGTATGGACGTGGAACCATGGAAAAGGAAATGACACACTGTGAAGCTGATCTGTTCAAAAGCAGAGAGAATTAATGCATTAGATCAAAAGCTTCCATTCACACACACACACGCACACACGCACACACACGCACACACACACACACACAGCAATACGGTCTTAACTCTGTGTGTTGAGGATGAGATCTTAGTCAGTGTGATTGACTGGTGCTGGTTGCCTGATTGCAAGATGTCAGATTAAAACGCTGTGTATACGGGTGCTCGTGTGTGCGCGTGCGTTTGAGCACAGCTGATTGATGTGTGAAGATGAAAGGATTATAGGTCTTGTTATTATTCTTGCCCTCTGTTCACATCACACCCAATACAAACATGTACCACACGTGCACACACATGTACACACATGCACACACACCTTGCCAAACAGCGCAGCTGAAAGACATATATTTGTGGAGGTGTAAGACATTTTACAGCACGAAAGTGCAGGAAAATGACTCTGTCCTGGGGCAACTGGTTTTTAAACATGGCTAAAAACAACACAGTGAACCAATATTGTGCAGAAGAAATGAAAACGCTGATGGGAAAAATGTGTTTATATCAAGTTTTGTGCAGCGATGCATGACATTTTGGGTCGGCAAATGTTTTTGTTTTGTTTTTTGCTGGGAAGAGTGGGATTAAGGGTTGGAGCTACTCAAAGTGCCCATGCGTGTGAGACTGTAGACATGCAGTGTATTAATATTTAGCATATAGCTATCCTGCTCAGGATCAACTGCTTTTCAAATGAAAAAGATAGCAAAACAGGATGCTGTGACCCACTAAAGCTGATCAAGGTGACAACAAAAGATATCTTCTACTGTTGAAGAAGCCTTAACTTTTTTCCACTAAATACTAACCTGCAATAAAGTATGACACCTCATACAGATGTAGAGGCTGTATGTGGCACTGATCACATGATGTTATCCTGATGAAAGATGCATTATAATCATTAGAAACTATAAATAAATCATCTTCAAGTTTCTTCAAGAGTTTTGTATACTTTTATGCAGAATCTTGGTATTTTGTTGCTCTCTATGAGGTAAAGCCTATGCTCATGTAACCACTTTATTATAAGTGTATTATGCTTTTAGGCCTGGAGGGAACATTTGTAATAGTTATGACAAAGCCAAATTAGCATGAAATGAGCCATTTTGCAGGTGGCCATTTCATTGTTTTCCTGTGTGAAGTATATCCCCGTCCTACGGTTGAGTGCCCAAGGAAGGAAAATGCTCATGTGTTTCAAATGTACACTATGAAATAGTTTTTGTTCCTCCCATGTAAACTGACCTCTGTAGCCGACTGCAGTATGTCTATATGTTTATGTGTGTGACCAGAGGTATGTGTAAGGGAGTGACTGGAAAGAATATCGCTCACTAATGAACAAAATTATTACATCAGCCTTTATAGAATTGACCTTTAAAATCCCCTGGCTCCACCAGCTGGCCAATGAAAACACCTCTATTCACTCATCTCTCTGGCCTGTTGTTTTTCCTCCCTTCTGTGACTGCACTCTCTTGTGTAATCACAGGAAAACAGAGGAACGGGGAGGCATAGAAGGAGACTTAGAGGGAAAGAAAACAGAGAAAAGTAATTAAAACAGAGTGCTGGAGAAAGAGGAGTGTGCTGGCCTGTGACCGATAGATGCAGCCGCATTGAACCGAAGACCGCAGTGGGATTAACAGGGGTCTAATGCTCTGAGGATGCTGGGTAATGGCTTGGTCTTGTGTGTTTGTGTATATATGTGCGAGCATGTCTGTGTCCTTACATGGCCAGGTATGCCAGATGCCTTTGGATGAAGAGTATTTCCAAATTTATTCAAGTGGATGTGAGCACTTGCTCGTCAATTTAAAGAAAGAAGGAGAGAAAGGTGCCAAGAATGTGGCAAGATGAAAGGAAAGCATTGGGCGTTTTATCATGGACTGAAGGAGAGAAACGAGATGGAGTGCTACAGATAAACTGCAGAGGACCAGATTTTTACTGACAAAGCTAAAACTCATCATGTGTCTAACTGGGTGTGTTCACTTTGTCTTCCTCCCAAATCCCTCGCTCCTCCTCAAAGCTCCACTTCAGCAAACAATGAAACTTTATCAGGCAATTAGCAGTTGGAACAGTGCTAAGAATCACAAGACACACTGACTGAGATATTGACCCTTACTACGAAGGGAAGAACTAATAAAAGATTGAGAGATAAATGAATTATAATAAATAAATGACACAAAGCAAAACAAAAGAGCACTTCACACAGAGTCAGGGAGACAAATGTGCAGATCCACTATTAAAAATATTACATATTTGCAACCAGGCTTGTTATGAGCTTAAGAAGATTACCTGTGTTTCCTTATAGAGACGAAACAAATCTTTGATGTTGAATGACTCTATTTTTACTGAGGCAAAGTACCACTCTGTCATCTACCTGCTAATTCCACATTTTCTACATTGCTTAATGGGAGATAAACAAAGGCTTAAGGTTGAAAGAAAAAGCACCCCAAGAGTGCCAAGGTGGAATTTTTTTTTTTTTTTTTAATAATAGAAAATGTTTAGACATTTTTAGTTTGCATCTAGATACAGATCTGACAGATCTGAAAGAATCATCGGATACACGTGTTACCTTTCTTTCTTATTGAAGTGAGTTCAGTAATTTATGACAAAATAGCAAAACACTCTGTCCTGCTATCAAAAACAGTCTATAGCTAGGCTAGCAGCTTTAGCACAGCGGCGCTGTAAGCTAAATGCATATGCCAGCATGGATGCTCAAAGTGATCATACTAGACTAAGTGCAAGAATGTCATGAGTGATGACCAGAAATTTTGATGGCAGGAGATGAAAGGTCACAGAATAAAGATTTTCATAAATCATCATCTGGAGATCATGAGATATTTCAATAAAATGCCAAAAATGTTTGAGTGATAGAGGAAAACCCAGAGGATCCTCAAAGTCATTCAAATTTATCCTCAAAGGATCTCAAATGTACCAAATTGAATGGGAATTCAGTCAATAGATATTTAACTCTGAATCACAAAAGTCAGCGTCTTGATGGCACTAAAGGAAAAACAAAAAGAGGATTACCAAAGTCAGATGGATTTGTCACCTTGGTGCCATCAATATCTGTTCCAAATTTCATGGCAGTCCAACACAATGTTGTCAGTAGTATACCAGCCTACTGACATACCAACATTGCCATCTCTAGAGCCATGCTGCTGGCATGGCTACAAATATATGACTATGGGCTTTCCACCGAACAAGGTTTTGAAAAATTCTTCTAACTGACAGACAGACTGTCAACAAACATGACTAAAAACACAAAGGTTAAAAAAGAGCTTGGAATTCAAAATAATCTTGTTGTTTCCCATTGGAAATTCCCTTCCTTCATCCTCCACCTGATCAACATTCCTGCCACCCGTCACACATCCTACCGGTCTTTGGCCATGGCAGTTTATTTGCTCTGTTTTGCTCCTGCTTGGTCTCTCTCTTCCCTTATACACATTCTGTCTCTGACAAATCCTTCAATCTCCCTCTGTTTCTCTCTTCTTCCTTACCTCATCCCCTCCCTTTCTCCTGTACCCCCTCTCTGTGATAAGATAGACTACTGTTCAGTTTGTGCCTCGACCTGCTGAATTTCAAATAGGCCCCTTCGATAAAAACCCAGAGCCATGGTCTCCCCTCTCTGCTCTCCCAGAATATTAACTAGACTTGCAGCAGTACCAACAGCCCTGCACCCCCAAGATCACCAAAGCTTTGCAGATCAGTTTGTTACATTAAGGAAAATAAAGCGGTGGTGGGTTGGTCATCACTGTTTCAACACTAGGTTGAATACCCTTGGTTGCATTTAACAAAGGTACACATATCCATCCGATCGGTGGCCAAATCGTAGTTCTTTTGTTAATGGCAACCAGTGGCTGAGCCCAGATGACTTTAAATCTAAACATACACCTTAACAATGAAGAATTGTTGCCAGGAAGTAATCATCGGACTCTTTCGTTTCTGCTACGAGCAATAGAGTCTGACTAAAGACCACTATGGTCACTTGACTCACAACAGCATTAGTAGACAAGTAGTACAGTATCGGTTGTAGTGCTGCTGCTCACTAGGAAGTTGCAAAGTAAGACCCGAATGCTCGTGAATCACGGTCCGGTTTCGAGACCTTGACCCATCAGTTGGCAATCATACCTCCAAATCCCTAAAAAATGTTTGACACACCTGTTTGAATTTTTTTTCAGCCTCTCAAATATGAGGAATTACCTTATCGGGATTCGGAACAGTGGTCAGATACAGTAAGCTATTTTGAACATCACTAGTGTTGTTACTACTGCTAAACTTTTCTGTTGTATTTGTCCTAATAGACTACAAATCAGTCAATATGAAAATGATTGTTGCAGCCATATTTCTCCAATGTTATAAACTTTATATAGGAGGAATTGGATATGTTGTTATAAAAGAGAGTATATGAGCACTAACAGTCAACAAACTACTACTTATTTACCACACAGTGATCATGCATCCTGCTGCACAGGTACCGAGGTGTGAAGTGACTCACTCCTGGCTGCCCTGACAGAACTGGACTGGATTCTTAAAATGACGATATTTAGATATTTACCTTACTGATCCAGGTCTCAAATGCTGGGCCTTTAGTTGTCAGGAATAAATCTGGGTTGGGGAGGACAGAGAGAGAGAACAAAGGGTGCAATTCATTAGGTGATGCATCGGTTCATCTTGCAATTATAATAAACATGTAGCAGAGATTATTGAGCTATGATGAAGAAATGCTGTAGATTAGGGGGAACGGCAGCAAATTAAAATATACACTGTGCAAGATCAATTAAAAAAAATCAGTTACTGCTCAGATTGCTAATGTTGCCTTATTCATACAGAAGCAAACTTTATTGTTGTTTACTTTATTTTGCCCTCTTCATTGCAATGTTTGACAAATGCTTTGGCACTATAAAAAGTATTTTAACACTCAAATAGATTAGCTTAAGTTAAAAAAAATATAAATAAAATAAAATAATATAATAAAACAACAAAACATAACGGTGGAAACGTGACATATTTTAAAGCTTGGTTGGTGATAAGTAGGACAGACTTTGACATCTCCTGACCTTTCTCTTTAACTCTGGCAGCAGTGATTCTTCGATATAGAGAATAGGTGGGATAAAGATGAACTGGCTTCTTAAAGCAGTAGAAGAAAAACAGGTGAAGAAACGGTAAAAGGATAGTGGGGGATCTCCCACTGAAAGCAACAGGATTCACTTTTTTCACTCTGCTTTCTGGAGGCTTCACCCCCTGGTACTGCCTGTAGCTCGCTCTATTGGAATCCTATAACCTGCGCTTGTACTCATATTCCTTGCTGCTGGAGCTTAGGCTGCAGGCTGCACTTGTAATGTGGTTTCTGTGAGCCTCTGTGAGAGGACGTTTACTTTCACCACTGCATTCACTGGACTGTGGTTCTGCCCCACTAATTGGACATGAAATAAATATTGACATTGATCTGCCTTAGGGTCCTGCTTTACTGCACGTGTTGCTATGCTCTGCATGGGTAAATACAAATGATAATGGATGGGGGGATGAATGGAGGGAAGAAAGGGTCGAGCAATAACAACAGGAAGAATGAAGGTTGTGTGTAATGACAGATGCAATATAGTAAGTTTAAAATGCTGCAGCACTAAAGTGAAAAAAATGATAGAGATAATAAAATAAAATGAATAATAAAAACATTTCACTTATTACAAGTGTCAAACACTGCATTGACTGAGAAATGTGTCTATTTGAGCACACCAATTTAAACCAGCCCTTGTACTCTCACAGATGTGCTCTGAAATGCTATCATAGGGTTCAACTGCAGTCAACCCCAGACCCTAAGAAAAGACCTCTACTCTCCAGGAACGTCGTGCCAGCTCATGTAAGAAAGCTCGAGTTAACAATTATTTTTATCTAGGTTTTAAAGAACATGTGTTTCATGCTTCGCACTTCCTATCCAAAGTCTCATTTGTACATTTGTACTTCTCACCATGGCATGTCCTCCTGTAGAACACTGAAACCCACTCTCCTACCCAGCACTTTTCCATCAGTTAATTTAGTGTTACAACTTATGATGGATTTCATATGGTACAGACTTTTACCAGATGTACATTACATTGTACATACATTTGCGGTTTAATTAACAGCTACTAGGATGATTATAATATTTTGTATAAATTATCATATTTGTAAAAATGTAATTTGAGGCTGTGCCTTTGTGTTTACTCACCGGAAAAGATGGTGGTTATACAAATAAACCTAAATTATAGCTGCTGGGCAAATTTTTTTTTCCTATACTACTGTGCCCCCACACACACACATACAAACACACATACGCACACAGACGTATACGCACGCACGCACGCACGCACGCACGCACGCCAACACACACACACACACACACACATACGCACACAGACGTACACACGCACGCACGCACGCACACACGCACGCATGCACGCACACACACACACACACACACACACACACACACCCATCTGAAATAATATTTAAGACTCAATTACAAAGTAAAACTACTTTTAAGATGCTCAACAGTTCAACTTCATCTTTTTAAAACTTTGTGGACTTGCAGACATGTTGCCCACGCAGACATTTTACAAATGCAAAGAAGATAACAAATGCATGCACAGATTATGCATATATGCCCACGCGCGCGCACACACACACACACACACACACACACACACACACACACACACACACACACACACACACACACACACACACACACACACACACACAACAGGATACACTAAGTAATTTGCAAACTGCTTAGTATGTGCTTGCCTGTGTTACTGTGTGTGTCTGGAGTCGCGCCGGGTGGTGTGTTGATGAGCTTGGGTAATCAGCCAATCAGGCCTCTTAGACAGAATTCAGCTGTGATTGGCTGATTAGGTGCGATGGCGGTGTGTCAGTGAAAGCATGGGGTAGACAGAGGAGCGGAGACATGCACAGAGAGATCTTCATCTTGTAAACACTTGACATTCTCGCTGTGGGGGCCCTTCCTCTCATCGCTCCTCATCTCACCACTTGCCTCAATTTTTTTTTCCCCAAGTTCACTGCTGCCAAACTTCTCTTCCTCTAGTCTGCTACTAAATGCCGGTCAAACTTGAAACTGCCTGGCTATTCTCTTTGCTGGCTTGAATCTCACCACTGTTAGGCTGTACATTGAGGGTGTAAACTGATGATTTCAAAGTGGAAAGCCCCCTTAAGCAGCACATTAAACTTCAACCTGCTTTCTCCTTGCACACACACCACACATGGCCTTACTGGCTGCTGTGACTTGAGAAGCAGTGCATTTTAGGAGTGCATCAAGGGGAATATGTACACACAGAAAAGCCAATTCCCTTTGGTAAACTAAACAATAAGGTCATTTTAATGTGACTCTTCTGGCTGTATCCTCCTTCAGTGCATTGTCTTCCTCTACTCTCCCCTCCCTTCTTCAGGGTCCCTGCCAGAAAGTATCCTACACAGTCTCATAAAGCGCTGCTAGCTATCAATATAAACCTAACTGCTTCCACCATCACTCACTTTAACACAGTTTTACTGTTCCTGGGACTTTTACTGGGTCGCCAAGGGCCTTTTAGGGACTCATCAAGTTAAAAGAGATATTGTAAAGAGGAACAATAGGAATCAAACAGAAGAGAAACAGAGTGGATACTAAGTGAAAGTCCTTTGTGTAATTAAGTACTTTATCTGTTTTGCCCTGCTTTACCCTGGTTTCATTTCAGTTTCAAATTAGTGTGCTCACCTCAGCAAAGCACACAACTACAGTCATATTTATATCCTTATTATTCTTGGACACTTTTTCAGTCATCCGAAAAATCCTCATTCATAAACATATAAAAATATTCAACTATTTTTGCTCAATGTTTGAATTTAATTTTCTGGAAAACTTATTGACACTTTAGATTGTATTTTTGTTTCCAAAAAGTAATGTTTTTTTTCTGTCAGTTCGGTAGAGTGGCTGGCTCTTACTGCTATGACACTCAAGAGTCTGAGCTGCCGTTGCTCAGGAGGAGAAGCCAGTTAAAGGTGTAAATAAGATTTTTTAGCAAGTTCAGAAATATGTGTCTTTTACTAAAAACACTACACCACAAATCATCCAAACTGACCCAGCTGACTGATTTAAAAACTGCTGAGTGCCTTGTCAGGTCTCTACAAAGCATAGTCTTTGGCTACATCCACATTACTACGTTTTCAATTTAAAACAATCTCCATCCAGATGACCATTTTAGCTTTGTATCAGAAATGATCTCCATCCGTACTATCACACCTTATAATGCATATAACATGACCGTTCATGTACATTGGGCATGCACATACCGGCTAAAACAGGAGGCGGATTGTCCACTGCAGTTGGTTAGTTGCAAAATACTACAAAGTAGGAACAGCAAAGACAGTTGTAGGGTTAAAAATGAATTTTACTGCACAAAAGCTGCTAGCAAAGACAACAAGGTCAACGCTTGCAATTTGTTAAACATGTTGCATTCACCACTGGTAGTCAAGGCTGGTAAGACCCAGTCAGGGAGCGACTGTGGGTGTCTAGGTCATCGTTTCCAAAGGGCTCTAATTTCTGCCCGCCCAGACTACAACACAACCCAAAAGTCTCTGTTTTAGGGACTCAAAATCCCAGCAGTAGTATGGACAGTATCAAATGTAGCAAAAGAGGTGTAAAACTAAAACGTAGTTTTGCGGACGTAGCCTTTGGGAACTGCCACTGTGGGATTGGGGGAGCAGCCTGCTAGCACCACAGGGGGCATCGTCTCAGTTAAAGGGGTACTCCATCAATTTTACACATCAAAGTGTGTTTACAGGTCTTGGAGAGTGCTACTGCATTATTTGAAAAAGGGTATTAAGCCTATTGCAGCCCCGGAGGGCTCTGCGTGAAGTCTGAAAACCTGCCTCAGGTGATGCAGGGTCAGTTGGCATTGAAGCCTATGTGTGAAAGTGAACAAACTCTGGGGATGTGGAGTTAGAAACCAGATACCAGGTAACCAGACCTCTGTAACCCACTCCTCATTTCTGATTGCGGGTGAAGGTCAATTAAGCTGCTACTAGCATTCCACATGAATCTTTGACGGAACAAACGGTGGTCAAGTTGAATTGTGAGTAATAAAGACGCCAGGTTTTGAAAGGGAGGAGAATGCTTGGGAAAAAAAGACAATATCTCCGTTTCTGTTGCAACGATTTTTATCTTCATCTTTGGTGTCAACTATGAGTCTGACAGCTGGAGTATTCTTTCAAGACTGAGCCAAGCACTGGATGCAAGGTTATATTGCCTTAGGACACATCTGGATGGGTGCTAAGGTCTCACTAATGGAGATTCATGGACTTTTTCAGTATCAAGAAAACGACATGCTCCAACATAGTTCAAACCAGGTCACCCAGTCCCCACACTCAATCCCCTACTGAAACAGTAGGCAAAATCTCCCTACAATTTCCCATCCTGCAACAAAACTGTTACACAGCGATGAAAGTGACGGTAGGAAATACAGGACTTTTTTTCAAGAGGTGATTGTGAGGTCACACAGTAACCTAAAGCAGGCACTGTGGCTGTCCCAGTATCATAACGAGCCACCAGTAATCCTGTTAGACCTGTATGATTG